GTGGGACCCGGATGGACGCGGGGTGGGGGGTGAAGGCTGGACGACTCCAGACGCCTGGGCCCCCCACCCCATATCCAGAGCCCCCCGCCCACCTGCCTCGGCCAACCCCGGACGGTGGGACTCCCAGAGGCCACCTGCAGCCCCCACCTGGGCCCCCGGCTGGGGGAGGATGCGAGCGAGGGGGGCTGGTCTCCGTCCCTGGGGGGCTCCGTCGGCATCAGGGGAGCCGGGTCTTCCCCAGATCTTCCCTGACGGGCAGTACTTCCACCTGCGACACCAGGGCGTGGCCCAGCAGTCCCTGGCCCCGCACTGGGGCCACCGCCTGCGCCTGAAGAAAGACCCCAAGGTGAGCCTGCCCTGGAGGCGGGGCCTCGGCCACCTGTGTTGTTCCTGCGGTTGTTATGAATGGCTGTGTGGCCTTCAGTGAGTGACATACTCCTCGGCGACTCGGTTTCCACTCATCCCCCTCCCCCGCAGTGTGTACAGTGGGGACCCAGATGGGGACAGTGTGCGTGAGTGTGGCACCTTTCAGGGCCTGGTGTGCAGCAGCCCCTTCTTTCTGCTCCCTCTCCCTCCTGTCGTGTACCCTGAGAGAGGAAGGGCCCCAGGTGTTCCGGTTAGGAGGGACAGGTGACATTTCTCCTCTACTGTCCAGCTGATGAGATGGAAGGAAGGGATCAGCCCATTTATGGCAAAGCATAGGAAGCTTGAAGTCACTCAAGGAGAGTCTGGCTGAATGGGTCCAGAACCCAGTCTCTAGACGCTCAGAGAGGTGCCCGGGCCAGATCAAAAAAGACCTCGGATGCCAGGCCGAGGAATTCAGACTGCATCTGGCAAGCCCTAGAGGGCCATGAAGGGGTACAGGATGGGCCAAAGGGCTGCCCGCCTGTAACAGTGTGGACTGAGAGTAGTGGCCGGTTTGTGGTGTCTAGGGAGCAGCCAGGGACAGAGACAGGGAGGTCTGGAGCTGAACAACTCAGGAGAGAACAGCCCTGATGGCTGAGACAGGGGCAGGGGACATCAGCTGGTTTGGGGGTGGGAGATGAAGAAGGTAAGAAGGAGGAAGGGCGCAAGTCTGAGGAAGAGCAGCCCCAGCAGGCAGCACAGCACGGGCAAAGGTCCTGGGGTGGAAATGAATTTGCAGGCTCTTGTCACTGTAGCTGGAGCGAAGTGAGGGGTAGGGAGGCCGGCGGGGACTGGACAGACGGAGGCTGTCGGCAGTGTGCAGGGTAATGGAGAGCCTCAGGAGGGTTTCAACAGAGAGGGGCCTGCCACATCTCCAAGGGTGGGTTGTGGAGAGGAAAGGGCCACTGGAGGACCAGCGAGGAGGCAGATGCGGCTGCCCAGCCAGTGTTCTGGACTGGAGAGGAAGTGGCCAGTTTTGGAGGAGGGAGGTGGACAGGACATGGAAAGAAGGATCTAGAACAGGGAGAGGAGAAGGGGTAGGGTTGGGATGTCTGTGGGCCCGAGGATGCGTAGTCGAGAGCCTCACCTCTGGCTGAAGGCAGAGCCCCAAGCACATGGGGACCCCGAAGTTCAGGCCCTGAGCCAGGACCGACACAGAAGCCCACAGCCCCAGGGACAGGCAGTGGGCAGTCCAGCTGGGTGTCCCCCTCAGGTGCAGTGGTTCGAGCAGCAGACGCTGCGGCGACGGGTGAAGCGCTCCCTGGCCATGCCACCCACGGACCCCTGGTTCTCCAAGCAGTGGTACATGGTGAGCGGCCAGCCGGGTGGGAGGGCAGGGCGGTTCCAGTCGGAGCCTCGCTGACCCCGAGCCGCCCCTGCCTCATGCAGAACAACCAGATGCAGCCAGACCTGAATGTCCTGCAGGTCTGGAGCCAGGGGCTGTCCGGCCAGGGCATCGTGGTCTCCATCCTGGACGATGGCATCGAGAAAGACCACCCCGACCTCTGGGCCAACTACGTGAGACCTTGGGCAGCCTGGGGTGGGGGTAGCCCAGGTCCCAAGGCTGGCCCCCAGCCCGGGGATGCTTTCCACCCCTTCATGCCTCCACCCACCTGCCCCCAGGACCCCCTGGCCAGCTATGACTTTAATGACTATGACCCAGACCCCCAGCCTCGATACACGTCCAGTGACGAGAACCGGTGAGCCTGGGGTCCCACCGTGTGGGGGGCAGCCCCTGGTGCCCCGTGGGGGCTGTGACAGGTGCTCTTCTCGGCCCTGGCCCCAGGCACGGGACCCGCTGTGCTGGGGAAGTGGCAGCCATCGCGAATAACAGCTTCTGCGGCACAGGCGTCGCCTTCAATGCCCGCATCGGAGGTAGCGGGGTCCCCCGAGGCACGGCCAGGGGGGAGAGGGGAGGGTGTCTCGCTGGGTGGCTGGGGGCGCTGGGGACGGTGGGCTGACAGACCAGGGGCGGCTGAGCCCTTGGGACCCACTGCAGGCGTGCGCATGCTGGATGGCATCATCACCGATGTCATCGAGGCCCGGGCGCTGAGCCTGCACCCGCAGCACATCCACATCTACAGCGCCAGCTGGGGCCCCGAGGACGACGGCCGCACGGTGGACGGCCCGGGCATCCTCACCCGCGAGGCCCTCCGGCGCGGTGTGACCAAAGTGAGCGGGAGCCCCCGGTCCCCCACCCTGCGGAGGGCCGGGCTGCCACGTCGGGCCAACACCCCCTGCCCGTGCCTCCACCCCGCAGGGCCGCGGCGGGCTGGGCACGCTCTTCGTCTGGGCATCTGGGAACGGTGGGCTCCACTACGACGACTGCAACTGCGACGGCTACACCAACAGCCCGCACACACTGTCGGTGGGCAGCACCACCCGGCAGGGCCGCGTGCCCTGGTACAGTGAGGCCTGCGCCTCCACGCTCACCACCACCTACAGCAGCGGCCTGGCCACCGACCCCCAGATCGTGAGTGCCGCCCCCGTCCCGGGCCACAGTGACCTCTCTACACCCTCCCAAAGCCACTCTTCAAACCTAGATCCAGTCACTCACCCGGCTCACCGTCCTCCTCAGGCTCCCCGTGGCTGCCGTGCCCAGGCCACCACTGTGCCGGAACTTTCTTCTCATGTCACCAGGCCCCCTCCCACCTCCTGGCTGCACGTTGGTCTTTTGCTCTGCCCTGAATGCTTTCCCACTTCTGTCCCTGCTGACTGTTCCTTTGGAGCTTCACCTGACAGCCACTGCCCCCAGGAAGCCCTCCCTGGCCCCTCCGCCACACTAGATCGGCCCCCCACCAAGACACGTGCCAAAGTGTCCCGAGGCAGTGACCAGCCTCCACCAAGGGCTGCCAAGGCTGGAGTTGAGAGGGTCTGGGTCAGCTCTGAGGTCCCCAGGGCCCCGCACAGCAGAGGCTCCCTGAGTGTCAGTAAACCCAAGCACTGTCCTCCCACGGCTGCCTGGGGCCCTGGGACCTAGACGCAGGTCCTAGACCAGGCCCTACTGTGGTGGCCCCTCCACCAGCCCCTGTGACTACCACAGCAGGCCTGGCCTCCCAGGCATAGGACCTGGCAGGCACTTTTTGAACATAATCTTTTTTCTATTTAACTTAATCTTTAGTACTTTTTACCTTTTTTTTTTTTTTTTGGCGGCAGGCTGGTACAGGGATCTGAACCCTTAACCTTGGTGTTACCAGCACCTCACTCCAACCAGCTGAGTAACCAGCCCATATACTCTTGGAGCAAAGGCTACATTTTCCCTGTCCTCCAGGCCCCAAGTCGCACCCCTCTCTGCCCTCAGGTCACCACAGACCTGCACCACCTGTGCACAGACAAGCACACGGGCACCTCGGCCTCAGCCCCGCTGGTGGCAGGCGTGATCGCCCTAGCTCTGGAGGCCAAGTAGGTGACAGGGGCCAACCTGCCCCCCTCACCACCACCCCCAGGCACAGGTCTCCAGCTCACCCACTCCCGTTTGCCCCCAGCCCGTTCCTGACCTGGCGGGACATGCAGCACCTGGTGGTCCGCGCATCCAAGCCGGCACAGCTACAGGCCGAGGACTGGAGCACGAACGGCGTGGGGCGCCAAGGTGCGGCGGGGCTGGGAGGGGGTGGAGGGGGCACTGTGCCCACAGGGCAAGTGACAGCCACCCACCCACTCGTATAACTTCGTATAATGTATGCTATACGAAGTTATGC